CTTTGCTCTAACGCAGGGGTCTCCAACCTTGGCCGCTGGAAGCCTGGCGGACTTCAACTCCCAGAATGCCCCAGCCAGCTTTGCTGGCTGGGGAATTCTGGGAGTTGAAGTCCTCCAGGCTTCCAGCGGCCAAGGCTGGAGGGACCCCAAGCTAAGACACAGAACTTCTGCAAAACCCTCGCTGGATGGAGACCGTCAATCTCAGCCCTGCAGTTGCTGGGAAGCCGGACTGAGAGGCCTGGAAACAGCCGCTTTCCGGAAGGAAGAAACCCAGAGGCCGCCCCCCTTCCCTCCGCCCTCCGCCTCCCCCCGGGGCCGCCCCTGCGAGGAGAAACTCGCCTGCATCCCGGGCGTCCAGCAGGCCCCGCAGCCGCTCCTCGGGGACGCAGCGCCGGAGGGTCGCGGTCCACTTCCCGGCCTCCGGAGCGACGTCGTAGAGGGAAAGCGCCCGGCTCTCGGCCACGGCCAGCAGCTGCAGGCGACCCGCCGCCTCCTCCGCCTCGCCTCCGCTGCCCCACACGAAGCTGCAAGAGCCGCGCCGGCCTCGGGTCAGGGCCTCCGCTTCCCACCCCCCCCCGGCCCCTTCCCCGCCCCCCGGCCCCCCTTCCCGCCCCCAGGCCCCCCTTACTCTTCCCAGGCGCCCGGCAGAGAGACGCCCGGCAGCCGCGCCGCCGAGGTCAGCCCGGACAGACGCAGCTCGGCCGGCCCGGCCACGGCCAGCGCTCCCCGCCCGCGGCTGAGCTTGGCCCGCAGGGGGCCGGCCGGGGGCTCCGCAGGCGGCGGCGGCAGCAACACCCGCAACGCCTCAGCCATCCCCGCCGTGAGACCCGCGCTCAGCTGAGGGGGACGCGCCAGGCCTGCCGGGAGTTGTAGTCCTTCCGTTGGAGTCCCCAACGCGCAGCCGCCGCCCCGCCCCCGCCGGAAGCGCTCGCGCGCGCCGACTTCCGCCCGCCGCGAATGGAGGCCCTTCTGCCGCCGGCGGCTGTCTTGCCGAGGAAGCCCCGGGGCGGCGGCGGCGGGGGCGATGCTGGCGCTGGGGCTGCTGTGGCGGGCGCTCGGTAGCGCGGGCTATGCGGACGCGGCGCGCGGGGGCGGGGGCGAGAGCGGGCGGGCCGCCGCCATGGCGCAGGAGCAGGAGCGGGCGCTGGAGGTCTACGGTGGGTGCGGGCGGGGGGGGGGACGGGAGGCGGGGCGGGGGGGCGCAGGAGACCCCCCCGCTCAGCCCGCGCGCCTCCCTTTGCCCCCCCGCGCAGATCTCATCCGCACCATCCGCGACCCCGAGAAGCCGAACACGCTGGAGGAGCTGGAGGTGGTGAGCGAGAGCGGCGTGGAGGTGGCCGAGATCGGGCCGGGGGAGAGCCTGATCACCATCCGGTTCACGCCCACCGTGCCCCACTGCTCGCTGGCCACGCTCATCGGTAGGACTCCCCCTCGGGCGCTTGGGGGCATCCAGAGCAGCCCAGGCCCCTCCAAGGGGCCAAGGCCAGACCCCACGGGGGAGCCTCGCCTTTCTGTCCCTGCCTTAAATCCTGGCTTCTCATCGAAGGATGAACCACCTGGGGGGTTTGGGTGTGTGTGTGTGTGTGTGTGTGTGCATCTTTTGGGGACAAGCAAATTGTATTTTGGCTTTCCAGACCAATCATCATCATCTGCTTCTCCTCCTTCTCCCCCTTTATTATTATTATTATTATTATTATTATTATTATTATTATTATTATTATTATTATTATT